TTAGCCCTCTGTCATGAGAGAGTTCCATGTTCCAAATTTCCAAAAAAGCCATCAGGAGTCTTCATGTTGTTCTAAAGAAGCCAGACTCCCCACCCACCCTCCAATTCCTTACAAGGAGGTCATTCTCCTGGAAATCTCTGGAACAGATATACCTCTTTTTCGCTACTAGGGAGTTGACAGGTTATGCCTTTAGGTCCCAATAAAGCTAAGCAAGTCAGGAGCAAGGGATCTCATGGCCTGTTCTTGCTATAAAAAGGCCTTTTTCGGAAAAAATAATGAAGAAAGGAATCAGCCAATCCCTCCTCGATGCCACCACCTCTTCTTGGTGATTTTTCGGGGAAGGAGTGGGCGGGTTGCCATGGTAACAGATGCGAGCGGGCTCTGCTCAGTAAAGAAGGGACCTTGATATTTTTCTCTCTCATTCTCTCAGTTGTGTGTGTGTGTGTCTGTGTGTGTGTGTGTGTGTGCATGTGCGTGCTACACATGCCTGTGCCCACACCAGGAATTATTTTTTTTAGAACTAAAGAAAGCCCTTCACTTCTTTCAGCTCCCCAAATATGGAGTGATGGAAAACCACTTGCTCCTGCAAACTAGAGAAGATTCAGGATGGTTCGAGAAGGGGGAGTATTCTTCTCCCTGTTTTTACTAGGGACTGTGTGCAACAGCAAGGCCTTTGCTAAGGGCTGGGGGTGAGAGCGGAAGATGCTGGTGAGGAGACGTGAATGAAGGAAAGACACTAATGATGCTTGTGCAATGGGAGCAATGGGGGGTTCATTGAGTGTGAGAAAGCACCCCCATGTTCACACTCCATCAGGTGCCGAGAGGAGATTCCCAGGGCTGACTCAGAAAGGGGCACAAGCACACAGAGACGGACACACAGACACACTTAAAATGAAAAACTTAAGTCTATAGAGGCACAGCACAGAACTACAAACAACATAAGAAGTTGGAGGGGCTGGGAATGGGGTTTAGTGGTAGAGTGCTTGCCTAGCATGCATGAAGCCCTGGGTTCCATTCCTCAGTACCACATACACAGAAAAAAACCAGAAATGGCACTGTGGCTCAAATAGTAGAGTGCTAGCTTTGAGCAAAAGAAGCTCAGGAAGTGTCCAGGCCATGAGTTCAAGCACCAGGAATGGCAAGAAAAAATGAGATTTTAGAAAAGACAGGCATAGCTAGGCATTGGTGTAAGGCCTGCAATCCTAGCTACTCAGCAGGCTGAGGATAGTAGCTCAAAGCCAGCCAGGACAGAAAAGTCTCTGAGACTCTTATCTCCAATGAACCAGCAAAAAGCCAGATGTGGAGCCCTGGCTCAAGTGGTAGAGTGCCAGCCTTGAGTGAAAAAGCCAAGCAAGAGCTCAAGGCAGAGACCAAGTCCTTGTACCAACACCAAAAATAAAAGATAGACAGGGATCTAGATATCTAGCCTCAGAGATACATGCAGATAGATACCCAAATACAGGCATACAAACATGTCCAGACAAATAAGTTCACCGACAGACATGTAAGAACAGAGTCTCACACCAATACAGAGACAGACAGACAGACAGACAGACACCCACACAAGCCATCTCCCTCCCTTCAATCACCCAACCTTTCTTGAGTGCATAGTTGGGAATGCTTCATGCAGTATTAACTGGGAAGCTCTTTCTCTCTCTCCCCCATTCTTCCTGCACATTCCCCGCCTCCAAGCCCACCCCCAAAGCCCCTTTTCCCTTTACTCCTATGCCGGCTTTCCCATCACCAGTGGACTGCCGTGCCCCCCCCCCTCCCCAACTGCAACTCAGGCTTCCCATTCTTAGTCTGTTTTGCTGCTGTTCCCGCTGCCTGCCGCCTGGGGGGGGGGGGGGGGTTGTGACTCAGCCAGGCCTAGATGACTCACACTTGACAGTATTTTTAGCAGCGGCCAGGAGCTCTCCAGCGTGCCAGCCACCCCCCTCCTCCTGCTTGCTATTTCTGAACTGTCACTGGTGATATAAATAGCTCTTCTCCCACGGCCTGAAGCTGCTGCCAAGCTATTTTTGGTTCTGCACAGTTAAAAATAGTTTCCCGGAGGTAGGAGGCAAGAAGAGTGGGAGCTGGCCTAGGGAGAGGAGACATTGGGGGCATCCAGAGCTTCTCAACTTGAATCAGAGGGGCAAAGTAGGATGAGTCCTGCCTCCCTCCCTTTCCTCCCTTGTCCCTTTCTAGACCCTTCTCGCCTTCCACAGTGCCTTTTCCCTTGTCCATTCTGGAAAAATCCAGGGACTCTCTCCTTGAGTCTAGTTCTGCTGCTTGCTTGCTTAACTCCTGAATCTCGGAATCCTGACCCGCCCCCTTCCCCACACAAGCTTCCTTGTTGATCCCCAGCTAGAGGAGAGGCCTCTTCCCAAGGTCCTATTTTATGTGGTCGGTAGGCCAGAGCCAATCCGACTTCCATGGAAATCATTTCAGCACCACGGACAGCAGCCCGCTGGGTTCTCTCTAGTCCGGCGGACTTCTCTGCCGGAGGCTTAGCTGGACCCAGGCAAGAAACGCGGTGGCGGGGACGGCGAGATCTCTCCTCTCCAGGACCTAGGGCTTCAGTGGGTAAAGAAAATAGGAATTCTGCCTTGAGTTTTTAAATGGGAAAGGGATCCAAAGAACAAGAGAATGAAAGGTTGAGAGATGCTGGTCGGGGCCACTGGCGGTCAACGACGCAACCCGAAGGTCCTCTCTGTCGCCCAGGTGGAGGTTAAAGACACGCCCACTGTCCATTCGCCCCACCTCAGTTGTACCATTGGCTGCCCAAACATCGGGATGGGGTCTCCACAGTCACGCACCCTCTCCTCCCACACTTCCTCTCTTGTTACCCCGTTTCCTGTGAGGATTGGGATCTACTTGATCCCAAATTATCCTTCATGATGTCAAAAGTTCTCCTCCCTTCCCTCCCAACTTGCTACCATCAGGTGAATTCCTGTCTTCCCCTGCCCCCTCTCCACTTTTCTGTTTTGAAAACAGTGCCTTGATAATGCAGCCAAGGCTGGCCTTGAACTGGAGACCTTCCTGCCTCTGAAAATCCTCTGAGTGCTGGGATTACAGGCGTTTGCCACTCCACTTGGCTAGTCTTCAATTTTTAAGTGGCTTCCTTTTCAGCCCCTCAAGGGATTTCACACATTCCCCACTCCTCTACACGGGAGATTTCCGATTGAAATATCCCCTAGACCACTGCTGTCTCCCTTTATGAGATCATGGAACCAGAAAGGCATCCATGTTTCTCCCTGGAGAGTTACCAGGTGCAGTAAGTAGAGAAGGAGAGAGAAGGCAAAAGCCATGCAATGCAGAGGGAGCTTGACAAAGACAAGAAAGACATGATTAACAGGAGGGGAACCTTTGGGGGTCTAGGGGGTGCAGAGTGCTGAGAAAGCCTCGCAAGCATTCCGTGCAAGGGTACGTGTGTGCGCGTGCGTGTGTGTGTGCGCGCGCGTTGGTGTGCATGGACTTCAAGGTGGTCAGGACGAGCGAGAAGCCTGAGAGCCGAGAATGGGCTGCAGGTGGATGTGCGGAGATCCTGGCGGAGTTCAAGGGCCGCAGGGCGCCGGGTGCGGACCCCGGCGTGGACGCCCCGCTCCCCTGCGGCCTCCGCCGCTTCTCCGCAGGAGCGCGCTGCGGAGGCCCCGCCCGGGAGGCCCGGCCCGCCAGGCCCCGCCCCGCCGCCGCCGCCGCCGCCGGAGGATTCCTGCCCTAATATGGAGCCGGGATTCCCCGGCCCCGCCCCCGCCCCCGCCCCCGGCCCGGCGCGGGGACCGAGGCTCTCACGGTGGGGGGCGGGGGGAAGAAGGGAAGGAAGGAGGGGCGCTCGCCACCGGACGGGGGCGGGGAGGCCGCAGTGCAGGCCCAGTTCCTCGCCATGCCCTGGGGGGCGAGGGGACTCTGCCTCAGTTTCTCTCCTAAGTGTCTAAGGCTTGATGGGTGGATTGAGGAACGAAGCACCTCTGCAGAAGGCTACGTCGTGGTTTCTAAGCTGTGGGAAAGGAGGACCGGGTGGTCCCCCAAATTCAAGTGGGACCCCCCTCTTTGCATCCCACCCTAGGGACTTAGACACTCCCCCCCAGGACCCCCCCAGAACCCCTGGCGCGTGGGCAAGGCCTGAGAAGTGGAGGGAGGCGCTAGTTCTTTGAAAGTGTCCAAGGCAATCTCAGGTTGAGGAGACCCCAGGAGAGGCATCTCCGCTGAGACCCGGCCCCCAGGGGCCCAGGGAGAGTCCATCGCCTTCCTCCTGGCCGCCCCTGGCAAATTGGGGCTGGGTAGCAGGTGCCCCCTTCGCTTGTCTCCTCTCTCTGGAGTGTGAGGATCTAGGCTGGGGGACACTGGGATGTGCGGACTCAGGGTTGGGTTCCCCGGGGGTGTGGGGGTCTAGGCTGGGGGACACTGGGTGTGCGGACTCAGGGTTGGGTTCCCCGGGGGTGTGGGGGTCTAGGCTGGGGGACACTGGGGTGTGCGGACTCAGGGTTGGGTTCCCCGGGGGTGTGGGGGTCTAGGCTGGGGGACACTGGGGTGTGGGGAGCTAGAGTATGGGACACTGGATTGTGGGGGGCGAGGGTGGGGGTCACCTGGGTGGGGGAGCCAGGATGGGGGGGACACCGGGGTGTGGGGGTCTAGGATGGGTGTCACCGAGCTGTGGGGGGGTCAGGGTGGAGGTGGGCCTGTACAGACTCTCCTGCGGGCGGGGGGGCGCGCCACGCTCTGTCCCTTCCCCCCACTGAGCACCCCGCACCCCAGTTGGCGCTTCTAGAAGGCAGCGAGCTCCGGGCTGTGCGCTCCGCCCCCTCCGCAGCCTCCCTTCTCGCCCTCCCGCCCCCCTCCCGCTCGGGCTCGACGTCACGCGATGACGTCGGAGGCCGGGGAGGGGGGAGGAGCCCCCCCAGCCGGTGCTCCCGCTGCAGCGCGCTTAGCCCAGCCTCCCGCCCCCCCCCCCGCGTCTCCAAAACGAGCCCCCCACGCCTGGCAGGAGCTATATAAGGCGGGCGAGCCAGGCGAGGGGGGCAGCGCAGCCGAGCGGAGCCCGGAGAGGAGAGCGCGAGCGCCGGCAGAGCGAGCCAGCGAGCGAGCGAGCGCCTGGAAGCCCGGAGGACGCGGACGCCCGAGCCCGGGGCGCCCGCCCGGAGGACGGGGACTCCGGAGCCCGCGGCGCCCGCAGCCATGTACCGCTCCACCAAGGGCGCCTCCAAGGCGCGCCGCGACCAGATCAACGCGGAGATCCGGAGCCTCAAGGAGCTGCTGCCGCTGGCCGAGGCGGACAAGGTCCGTCTGTCCTACCTGCACATCATGAGCCTGGCCTGCATCTACACTCGCAAAGGCGTCTTCTTCGCCGGAGGTGAGCGAGCCGGGGAGCCCCGGGAGCCTGCGGTGCCTCGAGCTGGGCAGGGGAAGGGCTGGGGGGGACTCCGGATCCCGAGCTCAGGCACTACTTCTCTCGAGTTCTGCATGAAGGGCCGATGGATGGGAGGCGAGACCAGCAGGGTTCCCCGGGACCCCACCAGCTCGGAGGCGCCCGGGGGAGTCTGGGGGTAAAGGCAGCCTTGGCAAGTTGCGGGGATGGAGCCATCCAGAGCCCGGGGAAAGGCAGCCGCGGTCGGCGAGGCTCCGGGGGGCGCTGTCCGCCGTGCTGACCAGCTAAGGTAGCCGTGTCCGACCCGCAGCTCTCCCGGTAGCGCGGCCGCAGCCTTCGCTCTGCGAGTCGCTGTCCGAGGTGCTGACCGGGAGCCCCCGGAGGTAGCGCTGTCCGCGGTGCTGACCAGGCGCCGCCCTCGGGAGCGCTGTCCGCGGTGCTGGAGGCCCCGGCTACGGGCTCAGAAGTCTGAGGACTCCCTTAGCTGGGGAGTTCCAGCAACAGGTCTCCTGACCAAGAGCCGCGGGCAGCGGCTCAACAGGTGTCGGCAAGAGACAGATCCATGGGAGAGTCCCCCAGCCTCTGTGAAACTCAGACCCTGCCTTCTTCACTCTGCCCTGTGCCTTCCGACCTCAGCCTTGACTCACCTCATCTTGCCGCCCCGCACAGGTGCTCCTCTGGCCGGCCCCACAGGCCTTCTCTCAGCCCAAGAGCTTGAAGACATCGTGGCAGCCCTGCCTGGATTCCTGCTGGTGTTTACAGCCGAGGGGAAGTTGCTCTACCTGTCCGAGAGTGTGAGCGAGCATCTGGGCCATTCTATGGTGAGTATTGCAGGTCCTTTCAGTTCAGGACTGAGGTACAAATTGGTTTCAATGAGACTTCTATGAGATTTCTACTCTTGAGAAACTAAGGGTTCTGAGAGGGGGGAGAGAGAGAGGCTCTTGCTGTCCTCACTAATGGTGATCTCTGCTTCTGTTCTCCCAGGTGGACCTGGTGGCTCAGGGTGACAGCATTTATGACATCATCGATCCTGCTGACCACCTAACTGTGCGTCAACAACTCTCCTTGCCCTCTGCTCTAGATACTGGTGAGCACTGTCTTCTCTCATCTTTATTCCAATCTCCTCCACCCACCATTTCTCTGTTTCTTACTAGTTCCTTTTTCTTTACCCACCTAGATCGTCTTTTCCGTTGTCGTTTCAACACTTCCAAGTCCCTCCGACGCCAGAGCGCAGGCAACAAACTGGTGCTTATTCGAGGCCGATTCCACTCCCACCCACCCGGGGCCTACTGGGCAGGAAACCCTGTGTTCACGGCTTTCTGTGCCCCACTGGAGCCAAGACCCCGCCCTGGCCCTGGCCCTGGCCCTGGGCCTGGCCCTGCCTCACTCTTCCTGGCCATGTTCCAGAGTCGGCATGCTAAAGACCTGGCCCTGCTGGACATCTCTGAGAGGTGAGCCCAGAGGGTTTAACTTCAGGAGGAAGGCAGGCCAGAGTTGAGGGACTGTAGATTCTGGAGTCAGGGAGGATGGGGCTTAGATGGGCAGAGAAGCTGGGAGGGAGCAAGATGTGCAATGTTGAGCAAGGAAAACAGAAAGCTGACCTCACCCTTTCCACCTTCCCAGTGTCCTAATCTACCTGGGCTTTGAGCGCAATGAACTGCTCTGTAAATCATGGTATGGACTGCTGCACCCCGAGGACCTGGCCCACGCTTCTGCTCAACACTACCGTCTGTGTGAGTGTCCAGAGAGGCTGTGGATAAGAAAGGAAGTTGGGGGGATAAAAGAAGGGGGAGACCAGGCCCAGAATGAGCTGTGGTCAAGACTGATGTTTGGGATGCCCTAAGGGGAATATTAGGAGGAGGACCCTGGGTGGTGAGGTCAAGTTGGGGAGCTGAGAGGCACAGGTTAGGGTAGGTAGAAGAAAAGATATCATGGCTCCCTCAGCTCAGTGTAGAGGTGAAGAAGGTGGGAGTTGAGGTGGTGTTGTCTGATGGGCATCCTAACCCTGAATCTCTTCTTTCTTCTCAGTGGCTGAGAGTGGAGACATTCAGGCCGAGATGGTGGTGAGGCTGCAGGCCAAGTCTGGAGGTTGGGCCTGGATTTACTGCCTGTTATACTCGGAAGGGCCAGAGGGCTCCATTACTGCCAATAATTACCCAATCAGGTGAGCTGCAAGGTAGCAGTCTGGGTGGAAGGGGGTGTCAGCTGAAGTCAGCAAATCAGAGAACTGCTCTGGAAACAGACACCAAACCCTGACCAGTTGCCTCTTCTCTCTTTTCCAGTGACACAGAAGCCTGGAGTCTCCGCCAGCAGCTGAACTCTGAAGACACTCAGACAGCTTATGTTCTGGGTACGCCAACCATGGCGCCCTCATTCCCTGAGAATGTCCATTCCCAAGAGCAGTGCTCTAACCCACTCTTTACCCCAGCCTTGGGGGCTCCCAGAAGCACCAGTTTCTCCGGTGCTCCAGAACTGGGTGGGGTCTCAACATCAGAAGAACTTCCCCAGCCTTCTAAGGAGATGGGCTTCCGTTACCTGCCATTTGCTGCTGGGCCAGAGCCCTCTCTGCAGACAGACCTCAGCAAGGATCTTGTGTGTACACCACCCTACACACCTCACCAGCCTGGGGGCTGTGCCTTCCTCTTCAGCCTCCACGAGCCCTTCCAGACCCTTCTGCCCACTCCATCCAGCTCTCTTCAAGAACAGCTGACTCCAAGCACCGTGACCTTCTCTGATCAATTGACTCCGAGCAGTGCAACATTCCCTGATCCTCTCACCAGCCCGCTGCAAGGCCAGCTGACCGACACTGCCACCCGAAGTTACGAAGACCAGTTGACTGCGTGCACCTCTACCTTCCCGGACCAGCTGCTTCCCAGCACTGCTTCCTTCCCAGAGCCCCTGGGCAGCCCTGCCCATGAGCAGCTGACTCCTCCCAGCACCGCTTTCCAAGCTCCCCTGAGCAGCCCCAGCCAGACTTTCCCAGAGCAACTGAGCCCCAATTCTACGAAGACTTACTTCACCCAGGAGGGATGCAGTTTTCTCTATGAGAAGTTGCCCCCAAGTCCTAGCAGCCCTGGTAATGGGGACTGCACACTTCTGGCCCTCGCTCAGCTCCGGGGCCCCCTGTCTGTGGATGTCCCCCTGGTGCCCGAAGGCCTGCTCACCCCCGAGGCCTCTCCAGTCAAGCAGAGTTTCTTTCACTACTCTGAGAAGGAACAAAATGAGATCGATCGCCTCATCCAGCAGATTAGCCAGTTAGCCCAGGGCATGGACAGGCCCTTCTCTGCTGAGGCCGACACTGGGGGACTAGAGCCCCTTGGAGGACTGGAGCCCCTGGATTCTAACCTATCCCTTCCGGGGGCTGGCCCCCCTGTGCTCAGCCTGGACCTGAAACCCTGGAAATGCCAGGAGCTGGACTTCCTGGCTGACCCCGAGAACATGTTCCTGGAAGAGACGCCCATAGAAGACATCTTCATGGATCTCTCTACTCCAGACCCCAATGGGGAATGGGGTTCAGGGGATCCCGAGGCAGAGGGCCCAGGAGGGGCCCCATCGCCTTGCACCAATCTGTCCTCAGAAGACCACAGCTTCCTGGAGGACTTGGCCACCTATGAAACCGCCTTTGAGACAGGTGTCTCAGCATTCCCCTACGATGGGTTTACTGATGAGTTGCATCAACTCCAAAGTCAAGTTCAAGACAGCTTCCATGATGGTGAGTACAGACCCAATGTTTCTGTACTCATGTCCCTGGCCTTCCAGTGAGATGCTAGGAGATTAGTGGATCCATTCCTTTCTCTGTACCTCAGTGTTAATTATGTAGGTAATAATCACTTGTTGCTAAGGGTAGCAGTGAGGATAAGGAACATGAAAAACTTGGGCAGAGAGTGAGATGAGTGGTGGAGTACCTGCTCGGCCAAGAGCAAGGTCCTGAATGCAAATCATACCACCAAAATTAAAAAAAAAACAACCTAATATGAAAGTTGTGGATCAGTAGGAATGGTAGGCAAAGATGGTGACTGAAGTTTGTGCTTTAAAGTTTGTAAGGGGGCTTCCCTGTAGCTCAGTGGCACCATGCTGCTTAGCAAGTGCATCATCCTGGGCTTGATCCCCAGTACCATGAAAGAAAAGACAAACAAAACACAGTTTTTAAAAAGTCTAGGAGGGACTGGGAAGTTGGCTCAGTGGTAGAGTGCTTGCCTTGCATGCATGAGGCCCTGGGTTTGATTCCTCAGTATCACATACACAGAAAAAGCCAGAAGTGGTGCTTTGGCTCAAGTGGGAGAGTGCTAGCCTTGAACAAAAGAAGCTCAAGGACAGTGCTCAGGCCCTAAGTTAAGTCCCAGGACTGGCAAAAAAAGTCTATGAGGTACCTAAATCAATTGCCACCACATTTTATGGATGAGGTCAATCAAGGACCCAGAGTAAAGAAATATTCTTTACGTCTGACCAAAAACAAAAACAAAAACAGGAGAAGTTGTCAGATGCTGGTAGCTCATGCCTGTCATCCTAGCTACTCAGGAGGCTGAGCTCTGAAGATTGTGGTTCAAGGCTAGCCCTAGCAGAAATCTGTGAGACTCATCCCCAAATTTAGCTAGAAAAAAAAACAAAACAGAAGCAGAGGTGTGGCTCAAGTGGTAGACCACCAGCCTTGAACTAAAAAGTTAAGGGAAATTGCCTGATATAGTACTGGTCCTAGTGGTGGCATAAAGTAAAACTTAGAAGAAGTTGATTGGAGATCTAGCCTAGTATTCTTGCCCCCTAAAGGTGATAAATGGGAGAGACAAGAATTTGTCGACATTCAGGAGAGAAAGCCCAGAGGCTTTGGCCTTAGCTTCATTGCAGTAGTCCCTTCCATTGGCCCCATTCTCTCCAAAGCTACAGCTACAGCTTCTGGCACCATTTTCCCACTGGGCCAACTTATTTGAAGTCCAAACCATATGTCAACACTGCACCACACCCCGAGCCCAAAGACCTGCTCTCCTAAGAAGGCTAATTCCTCTTCTCTCTCTGTCTCTCTCTCTTCACAGATGGAAGTGGAGGGGAACCAACGTTTTGAATAAGTCTGTGACTTAACGTCAAGTATGGCATATTGTCATCAAGACGTGGAGCCGCTCTCCACCCCCCCAGGACTGTTTGGGGGGATTCTGGGGGCCAGAGGGGGATATATCTGATTCTCCAGGCCCTGAAGGATTGGGGGGGGGGGAGGGAGGTGGGAGGGCAAGGGAGGGGAGTTTCTTTTTAAAACCAAGGGACTTTGAGCGATCCCAGTTTCCATTCCAATCTGTATTCACTCGTAGTGAGCTTCCTTGAATGAATTTCAAGCGGAGAATGGGGGAGTCTCGTTTCCCCATCCGCACTGCCCCATGGGCCTGGGCCAGTTCTCCACTCCTAGGGGGGCTTCAGCTCCCCCCTAGATCTTGGTGGGGGAAAGGCAGGGCCAACCCCAGGCCAGCCTGAGCCCCGAGGGGCTCGTGACACCCACGTAGAATTCTCTACACACCAGTAACGGGATTTCAATTCCGATGGACTAGGCCGCGCTGCGGCTCTTCCTTGAGACTTTTGCGCCCCGCCGCCTGGGGTGGGAGCGCGAAGAGACGCTTCGTTCCTTTCCGATGGAGGAAGGCAGATCTGCCGCCACACGTGTGCTTTGCACGAGTGCTGGTACCTGGTGCGGGAAGCACCCGGCCGCCCGAGCGCCTGGGCCTGCCCTGGACGGCCGTCTGGGATGCTGCCCTGGACAGCTGCCTCGTGGTTCCGCGGTGACCTTTGTAGCCAACTTTATAATAAAGTCCAGTTTGCCTTTTTGGTATCTCTGGTGTCCTGAGCTGCTGTGGAAAGGGAAGATGGGGAAGTGAGGGCGTGGGGTCCCAGACAGCAGCCTGGGGGCGACAGGCCTTAAAGACTAGAGCTGCTGGGCTGGGAAGGTGGCTCAGTGGTAGAGCGCTTGCCTTGCATGTGTGAAGCCCTGGGTTTGATTCCTTAGCACTACATAAGCAAAAAGAAAAAAGCTGGAAGTGGCGCTGTGGCTCAAGTGGTAGAGTGCTAGCCTTGAGCTGAAGAGCTGAGGGACAGTGCCCAGGCCCAGAGTTCAAGCCCCACGACCAAACCCAGAAAACAAAACAAAACAAAGACTAGAGCTGCTTTGGGTCCCAGCATTTCTTCCTTTCCTCTTGCACACACTCATCCCTTCACTCCTTGTCTGTGCGCTGGGAACTGAGCACAGCAACCTGTTCTTTAGGGGGCTTGGAGTTCAGTCTGGCAGTGTTCACCAGGTGGGAGGGGCAGAGAGTCTGGTATAAGGAGGAGGATGCAGCTTTACATGGGTTCTGGATATAGGTTTGACACACCGGTCCTGGGACTGGTTTGTGGGACTCTGGGTGTCTGCATAGGCAGGAAAAGTCTCTGTTACCCATGAATAGTGCATTCAGTTGGCAAATACATGCTTCACTGCAAAAAAAGGCTCATTTCACTAATGAAGAAACAGAAGGTCACCAGTGCCAGTGGCTCACACCTGTAATCCCAGCTACTCAGGAGGCTGAGAGTAAGGCTTGTGGTTCCAAGCCAACTCAGACAGGAAAGCCCAGAAACTCTTATCTCCAATTAACCAGCAAAAGCTGGAGGTAGAGCTATGGCTCAAGTGGTAGAGTGCTAACCTTGAGCAAAAACACTAAGCAAGAGTGTAAGGCCCTGAATTCAAGCCCCTGTACCAAGGTGTACATACACACACACACACACACACACACACACACACACACACACACACACAACAGGATCACATGCGAAGGATGCTTCCATATGCTAACTCCTAAAGCCACTGAGCCACCATCTGAAATGATCCAATCTCAGATTCTCCAAGGTGAGTAGGTATGGGTGGGAGCAAGGGCCTCTTTCCTAAAGCGTGGGAAAGGAATTCTCCTCCTTTGGCATCTCCAGGCTTGTGAAGCCGAGCTGTCCAGAACTCTAGATCAGGAATCAGGAGAAGACAGTTTGCAGGCCAAATCAAGTGGTTCATGCCTGTTATCCCAACTACTTAGAAGGTAATGATGGTTCAAAGCCAGCAAGTTAGCAAGACACCATATCAATGATTAAGCCAGAACTGAGAGTATATGCTTGTGATCTTAGTTAGCTATGCAGAAGGTTGTTAGGATACCACCTGAGAACTGAGGACCAGTTCAAAGCCAGCCTGGGAGTCAGGCAGCAGTAGCTGCTGTAATCCTAACTACTCAGGAGGCTGAGATCTAAGGATTGTGGTTCTAAGCCAGCCTAGGCAGGAAAGCCCATAAGAGTCTTATATCTAACCAGCAGAAAGTTAGAAGTGAAGCTGTGGTTCAAGTGGTAGCATGCCAATCTTGAGCAAAAAAGCTAAGGGATAAAACCCAGGCCCTGAGTTCAGCCCCAGGACCAGCATGCATACATGCATATGCGCGTGTACACACATACACACACAGAGAACTACTGGGATAGTGCTGGGGTTAAACTCATGTCCTCACACTTACTAGATAGGTGCTCTACCACTATGCCTGCTGCCTTTTTTCACATTATTTTCAACATAAGTTCTCCCTTTATGACTTTACGCCCCAGTCAGGCCTGGGCTGTGATTCTCCTATGTGTGCTTCCTTATGTAAAAGGTCCTGACACATCGCAAACATGGAAAAGAATTTCTCAAAGAAGACCATTTCTGATCTGTCCTTGAAGTAAAAATCCACCAGTCTCTATCATAGGAATGTGTTCTAAAATTCACCAGAGAGCAAAGGACTACAACTTTAAAAAAACTATGATTAGGGACTGAACTCAGAGCCTTATGATCTCACTTGACTGTTTCACTGAAGGCTGCTGCTCTACCACTTGAGCCACCACTCCACTTCTGGCGTGGTTATTTGGTGGTTAACTGGAAATAAGAATGTCATGGAGATTTCTTCTGGCTGGCTTTGCACTGCAATCCTCAGTTCCCAGCCTCCTGAGTAGCTAGGATGACAGGCATGAGCCACCACACCCAACTAATGTTTAGTTTTGAAACTTAAGGGAACATAAGACACAGTCCCAGGTGAAAACAGATCTGGCTATCAGAAACAAGGAGAGTCAGGAGGAGTTACCACAGCTAAGAGAAGTAAGGAAGCACAAAGGGGAAGCAGTGAAAAGATGCAATTAACTTGCAGCGAGGAAGTCTGAATAAAGTTAGGACTTTGGTTAATACTGCATCAGCATGGCTCACTCATATGAGAAAGTACATGTAAGTGTCAGATGTTCATAAAATGGCATCAGGATGTGGGAACTCTGTCCTACCATCACAACTCCAAATCTATTTCTTCTTTTTTCTTTTAAAAGTGAACATAAAAATCTAAGAAATCAGCTGGGAAGGTGGCTCAGTGGTAGAGTGCTTGCCTCACATGCATGAAGCCCTGGATTCAATTCCCCTGTACCACATACACAGAAAAAGCTGGAAGTGGTGCTGTGGCTCAAGTGCCAGAGTGCTAACCTTGAGCAAAAGGAGCTCAGGGACAGTACCCAGGGCCTGAGTTCAAGCCCCAGGATTAGCACAAAAAAAATCTAAAGAAATCCAGATTCTGTGGGGGAAAACAGGGGGACATTCCCCTCCTCTCTGCGTCATTTGGAAGTCTTGGTGGGTGATGCCTGCCATTGATGATTCTGACCAACAGTCCAGAGCTGAGAGGGCAGAAAATTTAAAGGGAAATAGTGCCACCTGCTGGAAGAAGTGCATGTTTCTGTTCATCATCCGTGATTTATGTGCCTGCGGCTCACAGCATCAATATCTTAGCACAAATGGGTAAAGTGAGGCCCAGGCAGAGGAAAGTACTCCCAGAGTGACTGTAGAAGCCATCGATGACTCTGAAGGTAACTGCTTCCCTGGAATCAATGCTTAGAAAGGGGCTCAAGTTCAAAGGCTGAGAACAAGCTCTTTTATCATGTGATAAATTTCACCTGCAGGTGCTAGGAACTGTCCTTGGTGCTGGGAAAAAAATGGAACAAGATCCCTGGGCTCTCCAGGCACTGGTAGTTCACACCTGTACTCCTAACTACTCGACAGGCTGAGATCCAGAGAATCATGGTTTAAAGCCAGCCTGGGTAGAAAAGTTCATGAGAACTCTCATCTCCAAAATAGTCAGCAAAAAGTGGATCTGGAAGTATGGTTCAAGTGGCAGAGCACCAGCCAAGCAAGCAAGTCAAGAAAGTGTTAGGCTATGAGTTCAAACCCCAGTACTGGGGGGAAAAATTCCTAGACTCATATAATTTGTACATTGGTTGTTGAAAGATATAATAGAAGGTAAAACCAGGTATTAAAGAAGCATGCTAGCCAGACACTGGTGGCTCAGGTCTATAATCCTCGATATTCAGGAGGCTGAACCAGCAAAAAATCTAAAAAAAAAAAAAAAAAATTAACCAGCTGGATGTTGGTGGTTCACACCTATAATCCTAACTACTTAGGAGGCTGAGATCTGAGGATCATGGTTCAAAGCCAGCCCGGGCAAGAAACTCCGTGAGACTCTTATCTACAATAAACCACTCAGAAAACTGGAAGTGGCACTGTGGCTAGGGTGGTAGAGTGCTGGCCTTGAGCTGAAGAGCTGAGGGACAGCAGCTAGGCCCAGAGTTCAAGCCTTATGACAAAAAAAAAAAAAAAAAAAGCAGGGTACTGCAGGGTACACCTATCATCCGAGGTACATGAGAAGTCTACATAGCATCATGGTCTAGGCCCGCCCCCACAAAATGTCAGACCTTATTCTAAAAGTAACCAAAGTTGCTGGACACCGGTGGCTCACCCTTATAATCCTAGCTACTCAGGAGGCTGAGATCTGAGGGTCAAAGTTCAAAGCCAGATCCAGGGGAAAGTTCCTGACACTCTACTTAAACACCAAAAAGTTGAAAGTGAGACTATGGCAAGCATGTTAGTCTTGAGCAAAAAAGCTCAGGGAAAGCTCCAGGCCCTGAGATTAAGCCCCAGGACCAGCAAGAAAAATATAATGAAAACTACAAAAGGGATTGAGGGTGTGGCTTAACAGAGCAAAACTGAGAACAACTTCGTCCCACCAATAAAATTGGTTTAGAAAAATAATGGAAAAATGTCCTAAATAATTGCCAACTTACAAGCAGAATACAATAGTACATGGAGTATGAGCTGCTTTTTTTTGTTATTGTTGGTCGTGGGGCTTGAACTCTGGGCCTGGCGCTGTCCCTCAGCTCTTCAGCACAAGGTGAGTACTCTACCACTTGAACCACAGCACCACTACCGGTTTTCTGGTGGTTTATTGGAGATAAGAGTCTCAGGGGCTTTCCTGTCTGGGCTGGTTTTGAACCACGATCACCAGATCTTAGCCTCCCGAGTAGCTAGGATTACAGGTGTGAGCCACTGGCACGAGCTTCTTATTTTCTTCAAACTGGTATTGGGGTTTAAACTCATGGCCTGCATACTTTCCCTTGACTTTTTCATTCAAGGCTACTACTCTACCATTTAAGCCACAGCTCCACTTCTGGGTTTTTGGTGGTTAATTGGAGATAAAAGCCTTTGACTTTCTCACTCAAGCTGGCTTCAAACTGTGATCTCAGACCTCAGCCTCCTGAGTAATTAGGATTACGGAGGTAAGCCACTAACACCTAGCTTATTTATTAATTATATTTTTTCCAGTCCTGGGGCTTCAACTCAGGGCCTAGGCACTGTCCCTGAGCTTCTTTTGCTCAATGCTAACCCTCTACCACTTGAGCCACAGCGCCACTTCCAGCTTTTTCTGTGTATGTGGTACTGAGGAATTGAACCCAGGGCTTCATGCATGCTAGGCAAGCATTCTACCACAGGATGCTCACCCACAAGGCGGGCCTCCACTGCATCTGACACAATCTCAGAACCCATGTTATTTATGGCTGGTTCCTCAAGGGTTCCTGGTGTAGCAGTACTGAGGGAGAAGGGTGTCAGGTAATAGGGGCTTCGGCCTCATGAATGTATTTATGCTGGGCGGGAGTAAAGTGAGGCCCTCCACAGCTCAGCTCCTTCCACATGTAATCACATCCCTTTCTACTTCTCTGGTTGTGATACAGCCAAGGGGGCCCAAGCCAGACACCAGACACGAGCACCATGCTGTCTGAGCTTTTCAGCCACCAGAATCATGAGCCAAGTAAACATCTTTTATTATAAAGTATAGTCTCAAGTGCATTATTGTACAGCCATACACAGCTGTCTGAGCCTCAGTTTACATATCTGAGGAGGAGGAAGATCCCTACCTACCTTCTAGGGCACCTAACATCTGTCTAGGTTGATCACAACCAGTGCTGGTCCCCTTCCCACAGTTCTCAAGACAGAAATTGAGAGTGGGTAATAAAGGATCTTTATTTAGGCTTGATCCCTTGATATAGTCATATGTATAAAACTATATGAAGTCAGGAAAATGTCAATCATAGGTTAGTATGGTCTTCCTTCCCGGGGGCACAGCTTTCTCAACTGGCCCCCTTCAAAATCCCGGAGTATGGAGGGCAGGGGGTCACTTGGCAGCTTCTGCCTGGGCTGCCAAATCTGCCTCTTTCTGGGCCTCCAGGACTGCAGCTCGCTCCTTCTGGAAACTTGCCAGCTCTTCTGCACTGAGGCTGCAGGTGAAAAGAGACAGACTAGTGAGTGGCCAGTGGCTGATAGACTCTCACTAAGGGCCCCAGATACCAATTCCCCTGGCCTCTTCCCTGTCCCTGGTCTTTCCAGACTCCATACCTTTGCTCTGCCACGAATGCCACCCACAATCCTTACTGTACTCTACTTTTAATCCCCTTTCTAAAGCCTAATTCATTCTGTGAGGCCTTGCCCAGACAAACTATCACAACCTTTTTTTTTTTTTTTTTTTGGTTGTGGGGCTTGAACTCTGGACCTGGGCACTGTCCCTCAGCTCTTCAGCTCAAGGCAAGCACTCTACCACTTGAGCCACAGCGCCACTTCTGGTTTTCTGATGGTTTATTGGAGATAAGAGTCTCATGGAAAGCTGGGCGCTGGTGGCTCACACCTGTAATCCTAGCTACTCAGGAGGCTGAGATCTGAGGATCGTGGTTCAAAGCCAGCCCGGGCAGGAGAGACCGTGAGACTCCTATCTCCAATAAACCACCAGAAAACCAGAAGTGGCGCTGTAGCTCAAGTGGTATAGAGCGCTCGCCTTGAGCTGAAGAGCTGAGGGACAGCACCCAGGCCCAGAGTTCAAGCCCCACGACCGACCAAAAAAAAAAAAAAAAGAATCAGCTGGGCGCTGGTGGCTCACGCCTGTAATCCTAGCTACTCAGGAGGCTGAGATCTGAGGATCGAGGTTCAAAGCCAGCCCGGGCAGGAGAGACTGTGAGACTCCTATCTCCAATAAACCACCAGAAAATGGGAAGTGGCGCTGTAGCTCAAGTGGTAGAGCGCTCGCCTTGAGCTGAAGAGCTGAGGGACAGCGCCCAGGCCCAGAGTTCAAGTCCCACAACCGACAAAAAAAAAAAAAAAGTCTCATGGAGGGCTGGGAAGGTGGCTCAGTGGTAGAGCGCTTGCTTTGCATGCCTGAAGCCCTGGGTTCAATTCCTCAGCACCACATAAGCAAAAAGAAAAAAAGCCGGAAGTGGCGCTGTGGCTCAAGTGGTAGAGCGCTAGCCGTGTGCTGAAGAGCTGAGGGACAGCGCCCAGGCCCAGAGTTCAGGCCCCATGACTGGGTCCCCCCCCCCCCCCAAAAAAAAAAAAAGTGTCTCATGGACTTTTCTGCTGGAGCTGGCTTTGAACCATGATCCTCAGATCTGAGCCTCCTGAGTAGTTAGGATTACAGCATGAGCCACCAGCACCCAGCCTATCACAAACACTTTGTACAGTGAAGTCACAGGGAAAAGATGTGTCCCAAGGCAGAAATCCATCCCCCTTATCTCTGCTCCCTGTAAAAATAAAGATTTGAGAAATGGCAAGTTCAGGTCTGCTGTAGGTTCAACTCCACTCAATTTGGGAAACCATCAACTGTCAGCCTTGGCGTGAGCTGTGGCACAAACAGCAAGGGGCCAGCAGAGGTTGCCCTTATCCCTGCTATGGTCTGGACCATACTCTCCCATTGACACCTTACTTTAAGGGAACAATTCTGCATTAATCCAAAACCCTTTGGGGAGAGTGGTACTTCTGGCCTTGGGATTAACTCTGATTGGTCTCCCCCTCGCACCATGTCCCATTCTGCCTCTGGGACTAGAGTCTCTAAGAACAGTGGCTTCTGCTTCTTGTCAGTGCCTCCCATCCTTCCTGAGATACTTCTATTTCTTGGAACATTTGCTCCCAGTCTTTGCCCTCCTTTCCCAAGGCTCTGCTTAGATGTCACCTCCCCAGGGATCTCTTAATGGCACACCATGCAAAACCAGGATTCCTCCTCTTTGCTTCTGTGGCACCTATTGCTTTTTAAATCAACAAGACTATCTGGCTGTATTTACGGATCTGTTGCTACTTCAAAGACGATGAGTTCCAGCAGATTAAGATAAGCATGAGTTCATGTCTAGCTGTATCCAATTCTAAAACAATGTCTGATACATAAGAGATGCCTAAGAATTGTACTCCCAATGCACAAATGAGGCCTGTACCCAGACTCCATCCTCAAGACTCCAACATTCTCCGACTCAACAGCTAACTCTATAAGCTGCCCCAAGTAAAGCCTTCTGGGCCTTCTCTTCAAACTGCTCCTCCCATGACACTCACTCCTTCACCACTCGGATGCCCAGGGAACGGGCAGAGCCAATGATGGATCGGACAACAGAAGACAGAGGGACATCCTGCAGGGCAAAGGCTTCATCCTGTGCTTTGACACGAGCAATTTCATATATGTGCTTCAGCGTCACCAGGCCGGCCACCTCTTTCCCTAAGAAGGAACAAGTCATTCTTCAAGTGTCACTGCTTCCCTCCACAATTTCCAGAATCTCAGGAGTCCATCTGGCCCTTACCCGTTTCCCGGGCCCCTTTCTCAATCCCAGCAGCTGCCTTCAAGAAATAGGAAACAGTGGGTTGTGCAATCTTGATTTCAAATGTCCTGTCAGGCTTAACCAAAAAATAAAAAGATATGTAAGAATCACTTCGCTTTGCAAACTTCTAATGTCATTTTCCCTTCCTCTCAATTCACTTTCCCATGGTGTCCCTCACAGGCCACAAAAAAAACCCACATGGAAAAACAAACCTGCAGCAAACATCCCCGTCACCTCTATTCCAGGTCTAACTCAGTAAAATGGAGGGACAAAGGGAAGAAAGGAGCTATAGCACAACCAGATAGCTTCAGAAAAAAATATGGTTTAGACTATGTCTCTGGGGAAACAAGCCCAGTAATAAGAAGAGACTTGCACCTAGGGTGCTCCCTCCCTCCCCCCCCCCCCCCACCTCTCTTGCCAGTCCTGGGGCTTGAACTCAGGGCCTGGGCACTGTCCCTGAGCTTCTTTTGCTCAAGGTTAGCACTCTACCACTAGAGCCACAGCCACGTCTGGATTTTTCTGTGCATATGGTACTGAGGAATCGAACCCAGGGCTTTGTCCATGCTAGGCAAGCACTCTATCACTAAGCCACGTTCCCAGCCCCAATGTGCTGCCTCTTAGCTCCTTTTATACAAGGCTGGTGTTTTACCACTTGAGCCACACCTCCACTTCCAGCTTTTTACTGGTTAATTGGAGAAAAGATTCTTACAGACTTTAATGCCCGGGCTGGCTTCCAACTGTGATTCTCAAATCTCTACTTTCTGAGTAGCTAGGATGTCAGGTATGAGCCGCGGGCGCCCTGCTAGAATGGCGTGTTTTAAGAAACCGAGGATCAGAGTCCAGATTGCACCTTCACAAAAATCTTCGTGGGCAGAGGAATGCCTACTTTGATGTCCTTCGTCTTCTCGTTGAACTCCTTGCAAAACTGGCTGATAGAAACACCTCGCTGTGGGAGAAGCATGGAGGTTAGCAGCGGCGGGCGACAGCTCCCGCGCTCCGGGCCTCGAACCGAGGTCCCCCAGCGAAGCGCTCCCCCCCCCCACCCCGCGCCCGCGCCCGCGCGCCGCGTTCCCGCCACCGCCGCACCTGACCCAAGACGGGCCCCAGCGGGGGCCCGGGCATGGCCTGGCCAGCTCGCACGATGGCCCGGATCACTCCACCAGCCTCCGTCTTCTTGACGGCCCGCGTGACCCGGCTGAGCTTCGACATGACACGCGGCTGTCGGTCTCTGGTCACCTCAGAGCGAACTACCAGAGCCGGGCTCTGGGCGCCGCCATCTTGGGCCAGAGGTCAACGGTCCTCCCGTAAGGTCAACAAATAGCAGCCTTGTTTCGGTCCTTACCGCTCCCCAATTAGTGAGCCAACGAGGCCTAGGGATTTTTTTTTAATTCTTCACAATTGGTCTTCTGCAGATAGTGAAAGACTCTGAATGGCTTCGGTGCACGCAATTTCCAGGAATGTGTACAGGCACCGTCTCAGACAGCCCAATGGCAGTGGGACCTTGGTCCTCGCAAAGTATTGTGGGTATGGTAGTTTCGGCCCCTCCTGCAGGCTCTGTTGTTTGCCAAGGCACTAGGATGTCATCTACTGGACGCAGTGAAAATCTAAGGTTTGAAATGAACTTGGAGCTAGTTAGGGACTGGGAGATTTTTTAATTAATTCATTCATTTTTAAAAAATTGAGTCCTGTTGCTGAATGGTAACAAGTGTAGATCTTGGAAGCAAACTGCTAGGTTGCTGGCTGTTAATTCAATTATGTAGCTTCTTTTCTTTTTTGTACCCAGTGTAATGGGAATTATAATATGTACCCCCCAACCTCTCAGGAAAGTTATGAAGACTGACTTTACTATTCTATTTTATGTATGTATATGTGTATTTGTGTCTGTCTGTCTGTCTGTATGTATGTATATTTGTTCCACTCCTAGGGCTTGAACTCAGGGCCTGGGCACTGTCCCTAAGCAACAGCACTGCCTCCTCCTCCTCCTCCTCCTCCTCCTCCTCCTCCTCCTCCTCCTCCTCCTCCTCCTCTTCCTCTTCCTCCCCTTCCTCCTCCCTCCTCTCCCCCTCCTCCCCCTCCTTCTCCCCTCACTTCTGCTTGAGCCACAGCTTCACTTCCAGCTTTTTGGTGTTTAATTGGAGATTGTCTCAGACATTGCTTCCTGGGCTGGCTTTGAACCTTGATCCTCGTATCTCAACCTCCCAAGTAGCTAGGATTACAGACATGAGCCGCTGGTGCCCAGAGAGAACTGTTTTTTTTTTTTTTTAATTTTATTTTATTTTATTTGTGAACATACTGTACAGAGGGGTTACAATTACATGGGCAGGATAATGCATACATTTCTTACCAAGCATTGCAGCCTCCTCCTTTGGTTTACCCTTCACATCCCTTCCCAGCCTCCCCCTTCCCCCCCAATCCCAATCCTTCTGAGAGAACTGTTTTTATGAACAGTTACTTTCCCCCTACTCTATGAGGGATAGGCACAGAGATGTCCACTTTACAGATGAAGAAACCCAGATAGTGGGTGCAATGTCACTTACCCTGTGTTTCTCTGGGCTGTGGCTATGATCTGAACGTGGCTTGCTCCTCCTAAACTCAAGTTGAAATTAAATTGCCATTGTAGCAGCATTAAAGGATGGGGCCTTTAAGAATTGGTTAGGCCAAGAGAGTGCTGCCCTCATCAATGGATTAAAGCCATTATTGAGGGAATGGAATGGATGTGTTCAGCTTTTCGTCTTCTCTGTCTTGTCTTCTGCCTCTGCCATGTTATGACACAGCAAGAAGGCCCTTAGCAGACGGTACCCTAATCTTAGCCTTCCTAGCCTCCAGAACTACAAGAAATAAATTTCTGCTCTTTATAAACTGCCCAGTCTGGAGGCTGGGGATGTTGCTCAGTGGCAGAGTAGCTCTAGCATTCGAAAATCTCTTGCGTTCTATCCCCAGCAGCACCACCACAAAAATGTACCCAGCCTCAGATGTTCTATAATTGTGCTCAAATTATGTTAAGATAAAATGCTAGAAAGTAGTATATCAGAATTTGAACCTAGACCATATGGCTAGTATTCATGAACTTAACTGCTGCTATGTTAGTGTATGTTTTTTTTTGCCAGTCCTGGGGCTTGAACTCAGGGCCTGGGTACTGTCCTTGAGCTTCTTTTGCTCAGGGCTAGCACTCTACCACTTGAACCACAGTGCCACTTCCAGCTTTTTCTGTTTATTGTGGTGCTAAGGAATCAAACCCAAGGCTTCATGCATGCGAGGCAAGCATTTTACCACTAAGCCACATTCCCAGTCCTGTATTTGTATGTGTGTGTGCACATGTACATGTGTGCTAGTGCTGGGGCTTAAATTCAGGACCTTAACCTTTCCCTTGGCTTTTTCCATTCAAGGTTAGCATTCTACCTCTTGAGCTACAGCTCCATTTATAGTTTTATTGCTGGTTAATGGGAGACAATAGTCTCATGGAATTTTCTGCTTGGGTTAGCTTTGAACTGAGATCCTCAGATCTCAGCCTCCTGAGTATCCAGGATTACAAATGTGAGCCACTGGTGGCCAGCTTTGAGTATGATTTTGAATATAATTATCCCTTAACATATGGAAGAGTTTTATCCCAAAAACATATATTAGTGGTACTAAGAGGGTGGCAACTTAATGTGACCATGATGTCTGGAGATAGATCCTTTGGAAAATTATTAAGTCATACCATCTGGATGTGATTATTACTAGTACTCATTTGCTAGGTTACATGGGCACATCACCTTGGAAAAGAACTGACTGCCACCTAATGAGGGACCCCAATGTAAAACCATCCCGCTAAGAATCTCCTGTTTCTGACCCTCAAAACCAGAATGAGATACTAAATGTTTCTTATTTAAGTGGCTAAGCTTTCGGGTAATTTGTTACAAGGTAATTTGCTAATATAGCTAGATACTGAGATGAACTTCTTCCTAATGCCTACTGCAGACCAGGGAAGAAGACAGTAGGAGAGGGCTGGGAAGGTGGCTCAGTGGTAGAGCGCTTGCCTTGCATGCCCTCGGTGCGATTCCGTAGCACCACATAAGCACAAAAAGCCGGAAGTGGGGCTGAGGCTCAGGTGGTAGAGCGCTGGTCTACAGCTGAAGAGCTGGGGGACAGCACCCAGGCCCAGGGCCCCACAACCGACAAAAAAAAAGACAGTAGGAGAGTGAGAAACACACACACAACTTACAGAAAGCTGGGAGCAGATGGACTGTCAGGAGCTAGGGGTAGGTCTTGGAGACCGAAGCAGCCCATGTCATAGTTCAGTGTGTTTATTTATACAGGCACTTGCACAAACAAAAGGCAAGGAGGAGCTGGGCACCAGTAGCTCACACCTGTAATGCTAGCTTTTCAGGAGGCTGAGATCTGAGGATCTCCATTCAAAGCCAGCCCAGGCAGGAAAGTCTATGAGACGCTTATCTACAATAAACTACCAGAAAACCAGAAGTAGTGCAGTAGCTCAAGTGGTAGAGCGCTTGCCTTGAGTTGAAGAGCTGAGGGATAGCGCCCAGGCCCAGAGCTCAAGCCCCAGGGCCGACAAAAAAGAAAGAGAGAGAGAGAGAGAGAGAGAGAGAGAGAGAGAGAGAGAGAGAGAGAGAAAAGAAAGAAAGAAAGAAAGAGAAAGAAAGAAAGGAAAAGAAAAGAAAAAGAGAGAGGTGTTGTACGTGATAGGTAGCTCTCAGCAAAAGTTTGGTAATTAACAGGAAAAACATATGACCTTGAGTAAAGGTATCTGAGCTCATTAATTTAGCTCCAAGGCTAAGATATGAACTATGCCTTCCAACTGTTTGACTGTTCAACTGTTGCTGCCTCAGGTCATCAGGCAGAGATGACACGGTTCTGAACTGTTGCTCAAGGAACTCCTGTCTCTGGCTCCCAACACACCAATTCTCTACAAAAACAGGTAGCATATGCCAGGCACTGGTGGCTCATGCCTAATTCTAACTACTCAGGAGACTGAGGTTTGAGGATTGCTATTCAAAGCCAGTTGGGATTAAGTATCAAAAAGCCAGAAGTAGGGTTGTGGCTCAAGTGGTAGAGTACCAGTCTTGAGCAAAACAAAAGCTGAAGGACAGCACCAAGGCTCTTAGTTCAAGCCACAGGACCAACACACACACACACACACACACACACACACACACACACACACACACACACACACACACACAGCCAGCTGGATTTGGCTCATTGGCTATCATGTCTCTTGCCTGTTCTCCAATGACATTCTCTCTCTTGGTACCACACTAGAGTTTTAAGCTTTTCCCAGTTGTTTTAAATTTGAACTGTGTGTGTATGTGTTGATACTGGGGCTTGAACTCAGGACCTATTGCTCTCCATTGGCTTTTTTGCTCAAGGCTGGTGCTCTACCACTTGAACCATACCACCACTTCTGGATTTTTGCTGGTTAATTGGACATTAAGAGTCTCATGGGGATTGGGAAGGTGGCTCAGTGGTAGAGTGCTTGCCTCCCATGCGTGAGGCCCTGGGTTCAATTCCTCAGCACCACATAAACAGAAAAAGCGGGAAGTGGCACTGTGGCTCAAGTGGTAGAGCCACTAGCCTTGAGCTGAAGAGCTGAAGGACAGCACTCAGGCCCAGAGTTCAGGCCCCACGACCGACCAAAAAAAAAAAAAAAAAAGTCTCATGGATTTTCCTGCCCAGGCTTGCTTTATTTATTTATTTATTTATTTGTTTATTTGATCAGTCATGGGGCCTGGGTGCTGTCCCTCAGCTCTTCAGCTCAAACCACTTGAGCCACAGCACCATTTCTGGCTTTTTCTGCTTATGTGGTGCTGAGGAATTGAACCCAGGGTCTCATGCATGCAAGGCAAGCACTCTATCACCTTCCTAGCCCCCAGGCTGGCTTTAAACAGTGATCCTCAGATCTGTCTCTTGAGTAGCTGGGATTACAGGCGTGCTGGTGCTCAGCCTATTTTATACTCTCTCTGTCTGTCTGTCTGTCTGTCTGTCTGTCTGTCTCTCTCTATTTTGTGCTGGTCCTAGGGCTTGAACTCAGGGCCTGAACATTGTTCCGGAGCATTTTTGCTTAAGGTTAGTGCTGTGCCATTTGAGCTACAGCTCCACTTCCATATTTTTGCTGGGCAATTGGAGATGAGAGTCTCATGGATGTTCCTGCCTGGGTTGGCTGCAAACCATGATCCTCAGAGCTCAGCCTCCTGAGTAGCTATGATGACAGGCATGAGCCACTGGTGCCTGGCTCCTCTTTGCCTTTTGTTTGTGCAAATTCCTGTATAAGTAAGCACACTGAACTATGGTATGGGCTGCT